GTCAACCTTGAGCCGGTGAGATTAGAACCGCTGAACTGCAGATAACAGTCAGCTGAAGTGGCCTGCAGTACTGCACCCTAACCACTGTGCCAGCTGGTATGGTAAATGTTTCAGAAGGGATCCTAGTTATGTAAAAAGAAAGCAAGAGGGGAAAATATTTTCAGTCTTGTAAGATTCTGTTAAATATAACCTACAATAAAGATAGAACTAGTGTTCCTGGCTGTGCTTCTTGTCTGGACTGTCTTTCAAAACTAACACACATTTAAGAAACATAAGTCAGTATCCATTCTTATTCAAAGTTAAACCATTAAGTTCCATTCCATATTTGTACAAATATTTGTCTTCTATTTCCAGATGTAGAAGACCTCCTTGATTCTCCCAGTATCTCCTGTCCTAATGGAGTATCTGAGACTTCATCTCTCCTTGAATGTTTGAAAAATGCTGAGCACAGAACTGAGTTGGCAGAAGCTGCATTGGCCAGAGCCCAAGATGATCTACAGAAAATGAGGTCATCATTTTGAATAATGAACTTTTTAGTTCAAAATCTTGAACTAAAGATTCAACTTAGTTGAACTAAGAGGATATAGGAGCATAATATTTAGTGTATTGAAGAGAAGAAAAACTGAACAATCTGTCATTTAATGAATGGATCAATAAGAAAGATATTTTTCTACAAAACTGGATTCATCTAAGCTTTTTAAAACACTCCTATTGTTTAAATAATACAATAAAAATAAATTAGCAAATAGGAACTAGCAAGAGACTTATTAGGCAGTGAAAAGGGAATGTAGACTGGATAGCATAATCATCAAGTGGATACATAGATAGCTTGAAAATTATAGTCAGAATGCCCTCATTGAATTGGAATGTTGTTTTGAGTAAGTATCTAAAGATTCAACCCTAAGCTAACATTTTTCAATACTTTTATTAGTGCTGGAAGAAGTGATACAGTGAAAGATTCTCACATTTGTAAATAAGGTGAAACAAAATGGACTATCTGGTGCCCTAGAAAATGAAATTCACAACAATTTGTATAGGTTAGAGAAATGTCCTGAAAGTAATAAATGAAGTTCAGAGAGAGAGAGGGGGGGGGAGGGAGAGGGAGAGGGGGAGACGGGAAATTCTTCATTTAAAGTCAAAGACACAGATACAAGATTGAGGGAGGATGTCTGGCTTAATACCAATGCTTATGAAAAAGGTGTTTGAATAGCAATTAATTGCAAAGCTGTATGTATCAGAAATGTGTCATTAGGAAAAAAAAAACAATTTTTGGATTCATTAATAGAAGCATAATTTCCAAAACACAAAAAATAATTGTTTCAATTTATTATTTGATGAAATTTCACACTAAGTATAGCTAGTTAGGGTTGGGACACATTTAAGAAGGATTTAGATAATTTAGGATATTATGGAAGGCCAGTAAAGATGATCAGGAGACTAGAAACTAAATCTTACCAGAGATCAAGAAATTATGAATATGTAATGTTGGTAAGACTGAGCAGGATTATAACATCTTCAAATACCTGAATAAGATTACCAGAAAATCAAAACAGGTTTTTCATAATTCAGGAATGCATGTTGCTTTAATGGAGCTAAACTATTGGAAGACAGATTCTGATTTAATGCTGAAAGAACTTTATAACTCTTAAGAGCAGTTTACCAGTAGAATTTATTACCATTAAAGAAGTGCTGTCCCTTTCATTGGATGAGTTCAACTGGAGGCTAGATACTTGTGTTTTAATTTAGGTTTCTGTCATAAAGTATGGATTGGACTTGCTGGCCTAAGTAGAGCATTCCAGCTCGAATTTTTTGAATAGAGAATTGCTAAATCAATTCTTCCTGTTCTTTATTTGGCTCATTCCTGAGACAGGAGTGTTTTGAGTCACAAAATTGATTAAAATATCTATTCTGAATTGACTGCACGGACTGAACACGACTGCACTTTTCTTACCTCTTCATTGGTTGCTAGTGTTACAACTAAAACATAGATAGGGAATTGGTAGGTGACCAGACATCATCCTGTCAGCAACTCCCATCAGCATGGCCGGTAGCCAGGGATGTTGAAATTGATCAGTGTCGATAGTCTCATCCAAAAATTTTTGTTGCTATAAAAAGTACAGACTGGCATGTCCTAGACAGCTACCCTTAAATCGTGCTTTACAGAAAGAGAATCAGATGCCCAAGGCTGCATCAAAACACATTCAAAGTATTTTAGTTATAGACTAGAAGGGAAGTCAGAAATCATCCCAGAAGCCATTGGCAAACATTTCTGTACTTTTGCCAGAAAAATCACAAGAGTATGTCCATTTCATTACCAAGAGTTAAGATTTATTTGATGTAGACTCGCCTGAAAGATATTAGAATAGATACTGTTCCACATTCCAGTAGCTTTTTATGTGGTATTCTGAAATTATAGCCATTGTTCCTTCAAACAGTACTTTTATTTTTAAAAAATAGACTTTTGAACTATTGTGTTTTTAAATCACTCAATAAGGATTGCCTTACAGACTTATTATTGTTTTTGTAGCAGAAAGAGGATGGTGAGAAATAATGCTAATTGTTTAAGTGCTTTTAAAATGTTAATTTCTCCACTGTTGTGTCCCTGTGATTATCTTCTACTTTTTCTTTATTGTTTGCTATTCCTTGAAAGAATATTATTTTCAAAGGTTGCTAAATTACTTTAAAGTAATTGGACAAAGTTTTTTTTTTAACATCAACTAGATTATTTGGAGTCTATTCCCTGCTGTTTTATGTTTTCTGAAAGTACCTTTTAAAACATTACCTTAATATACATTTTACTGTACTACAGCTAGAATTGTGTGTGTACCTTGAGTCATTATTGACTCCTGGTGACTGCCTGGACTCATCCCTGCAGTTTTCTTGGCAAGGTTTTTCCGAGATAGTTTGCCATTGGCTTCTGCTTCTTGGGCTGAGAGAGTCTTGGCCCAAGGTCTCCCAGTTGATTTTGTGTCTGAGGCAAGACTATAACTCATAGTGTTAAGACCAATAGACTGCAAAGGAAACACAATATTTCCATTCCACTCACCCCACCATTTAATCTCAAATGTGAATAACTCTCCTTTCATCTCCCACAGCATGCAATACAACCGATGCTTCCAGGCTAGGAAGCAAAACGTCTTCCTTTTTTCCTCAAAAAATCAGTCTAGTTTGCCGTTTCAAAAATAAAAACCACTTTTGATCCAACTGGATGACTGAGAATTTTCATAGACATTTGACTAGAATTCATAGTTTCCCAGTATCTAGCCTAGTGTCTTAACCACCAAATTGACTCCCATAGTTAGAATTGAATAGGGTTATAGAAAATAACCAGATACAGTTCTTCATGCCCTGGAATGTAAAAAAAATAAATACTGATGTTTGATATACTCAAAAAAATTCCAAGCAACTTTCAATGCAGTAGCCAGCAGAGGGAGCTTCAGCATGTGGAAGCCACCAAACAGCACAGTATGCAACCTATATGCTGCCTTTTTATAGTTCTTGTACTATGTCTTGAGGGTATGTTTCAAATTGATTACAGGCAATTTACGCAGGATTTGGTGATGAACACAGAAATCGGAAGTAGCTCATCCGCCAGCACGACTGGAAACTTAAAAGAGGATGAGGAAGATGTTTACTTCAGCTCATACGGGCACTTTGGGATCCATGAAGAAATGCTAAAGGTTAGGAAATGAACAGAAGCATGTCTTTATGGTGAGAAAGATGGAAGGGAGGCTGTTTCCCCATACGTATACTGCAATACAGCTGCATTTTTAACCCTATCCATACTAGATTGTTATCCTGGTGAAGCTCAGATAAAATGCAAGGGAAAAAAGTGAACAAAATAACAAGAAACATGTAAAAACACAGGTCAAAATCCAAAGGACCATGTATAGTCTGCCCTCCCCATATGCTGCCTTGCTTGTTGTTTTTTCCATTTAAGATTTACAGATCCCCTTCAGTGGGATATGAATTTAGCCATATGAAACACAAAAGAAAAAACTCTGGAGGTAATTCTCCTCTAGTATTTTGATATTAAATAATTGGCATCATTTAAGATATTGTGTGATTAAATTTTGACAATTATGCATATGCTAGCCTTTGGGATTTTGTCTATCTTAGTGCCAGCATTTACACTGCAGCATATTCTTCTCAGTATGTGGACTAGTACAGACAAAATAAATGGTAAAAGGAAGGAACTGTCCTATGGGTAATACGGATTCACATTCCACGATGAGTCTGATTCCCCCACAATGTTAAGCGCTCAACCATGACTTATAAATTACACTGGCTGGATTTCTGTGTTAGCTGAGCTACAGATGAACAATCAGCTATATAGGTTAGAACCTAGTCCGTGCCTTGGCTAGCTAAAAGAAGACTGGTAAAACACCTTCTTGCTTTATCGGAGATGGGAACTCTGGGTCCCTCCAAATACTGAAGGGTTGCAGGACTGTTAGAATGAACAGTTTCAAGATTTTCAGACTTGTAGCCTTTCTACAGCCTGAGGTCCAGTACTTCCACAGCGCCATTTGTGCTTAGAATTGAGCTTTAAGTTGGAAGCTGCATAATATTTGTGATTTTACAGTATATTCCCTTGTCTTTAAAATATGGCATAAACAAGATGCTTCTGAAACAATGCTGCTAAAATCAGATAAGTACTGTTGAATAAAGAGATGGCTTAATATTAATTACCTGGCAGAAGCTAATTTAAGCAGCTTTCTAGATATGCCCAAGGGTAGGAGTACCTGAGTTGTCAAACAGTGAAGTCCATGTCATTGGATTACTGATGAAGAACAGCCAATTCCACGTCCTGTTCTTTGAAACGCTGATGGAAAAAGAATGCAGCGCAAGCATTTCTGTGGACTGCAAGTGAGAAGGTTCACAAATGAGAGCAGAATAGTGTTTTTTTTTAAGATAATTGTGTTTGAAATTCACTAAAAAAAGTTTAATTTACATGATTTATGTATAAAATAATAATTTCATGCTCCTCTCAAATTCTGATCCATCAATCTCAATCCTGAAAGGCACTGATTCAGATATATATGTTTCATTCCTAAATGCGAGTTTTGGAATTTAGCTTGCTAGCTGCTGCAGGGAATTGTACTTTTGTCCTTTTGGTGTTTCATCTAGTGGTGCAGTATCTAATTTGTATGCAAGGAGAAGTTCCCACTTTTTAAAAAAGTTGTACTTATTATATTTTTTTTTAAACCTGCATTTGCAAGGAGCTAAAAATAGGATCTCAGGCACTGTCTTCCTTTCGTTTGCTGATTGGTTCTGTAGCCATTTACACAGATAGTAAAGCATATGGCTTTCTGGCATTGTCTATCTGCCTACATTTATTAAAGGGAATGATGTTAATTGCTAAACAGGTTACAGAATCAGCCCAGGTTGTTATCTCTGTTCAGGTGTACAAACCGGAAAACTACCAGTACTCTGCACACTGTTACGTAGTTTTGTACATTTTTAGATTTGTATATGTTAGCCTCAGCAAAGGATAATAAAGAAATAAGTTGGTAGCGATGCATCCTGAATATCAAATTAAGACTAGTATTTTATTGCTTTTACAAGGTTGTATTACTATACTTGAAAAATTAGAGAATGTCAGTAAAAAAAGAAGATACGAGCATTATTTCCTTACAAACAGAAAGAATAAATAATTATCCTAGTATGTTTAATATTTCCACATTTCACTTAGGTCTGATAATTTTGTTGCTGCTGTCTAAAAAAACTATTAGAAATTCTGTAATACTTTCTCAATAAAGTACTATTTTTTGTCACATTTCAATGCCTGGTCATACTTAAAATACTGCTTTTGTTAGATGGGTTAAGGAATAACTGCCAGGTGATGAACTTTTGATATAACTATCATTGAACAATGAATAGCAGTCAGTGCTCAGAATACCTTTTTTTTTAAATAGGATAAAGTGCGTACTGAAAGCTATCGTGACTTCATTTATCTAAACCCACACATCTTTAGAGATAAGGTAAGTGAGCTGGCTTTAAAGCTGTTAATGTATTTGTAGCATGTGATGCGCTAAGGTAATAAAAGTCTCCTGGATTGGATTCCTTCTACAATTGGGATACTGAATCTTTTTGACAAGGTTTTGATTGAATGTACTAAAGTCCTATTACATGGAGAGCATTATTCAGTTGCAAGAGAGTGCAGAATACTGATAAGAGAAATGCTGATCAGCATTGTCATTGTTCAGTGTGCTGTCGTGAGTATTCATTAATTTTGATGACAAGGTTTTGTTGAGTCTTTTCTTGTTTGCTCTTCTTAAGTGGTATCTGAAATAAGTGTGTGAACACTTACCATTCTAAAATCTACCACAAGTGAATTTCTAACCTGCGTGTTGTATGATAAAAAGTTTCATGAAGCCCCCTGAGGTACTGGCTTCTGGAAAGAGTTCAGATCCCAGTGTTTTTGTTTGAATGAAACCCATATAAATAATTCCCTCCTGGTAAGTTTATAAAAAAAATTAGCAAGTTCTGCCTTTGTAGGGGACTAAATCTGGCTTCTCTGTGAAGAGTTTAAGGATACATTTCCTGACAGTGAGAACAGGTAATAGTGGAGCGGTCTGCCTTCAGTAGCTGTACGAGCTCAAACACAGTAGGCTTTTAAGAGGAGACTGGACCAGCCACTTGTCTGGAATCGTATAGGTGTCCTGCTTGGGCTAGAAGACCTTCAGGGTCCCTTCCAACTCTCTTATTCTGTAATTCTGACAGGGGGCTGGGCTAGAAGACCTTCAGGGTCCCTTCCAAGTCTGTTATTCTGTATTCTGTAAATTATGGAATAAGAGTAAACAATAGGAAAAGAAGATCCAGTCAGTATATGCCATTGCGTATTCAGACCTTATTCATATCATCTTTTGCTTCTGAGTGGATCATTTTCTCATATTTATTGGCTCTTGGTCATAAATGCACACTTAGAAATTACCTTCAATTAAAGTATATCTTCTTCCACACATTATTTATTTTATTTTATGGAAGGAATTTATCTTGGAGGTTGCAGTTAACATCTATCTTTTATTTTTTAAAACTCTGGTAAAAACTTTAATTATGCTAAGCGTATAATCTAGAGTCCTTCTATTGAACAAAGAGGAATATTAACCCTGATATTGTATGTGCCACTTCTATGATACAAGGAATCGTCTTTATTTTTGTCTTTGAGCTAGAGAACAGGTAGAAAACATTTTCTCTGTATGTGCATCATTAAAAATTATTTATACCAAATGCAAATATACCTTGACATTTATGGGAAACACTTGTAGCATTTTATTCATAATAAAGTTATATTTTCTTAAATGTTGAGTATGTATAGAATAGGAGTTCTGTTTGTGGAAGGTAGGCCCATCAAATTCAATCATAAGCAAGTAGAATAGGATTATTTGCTGTTAAAAACCATTTTTAAAATTTGTAATGAATATTGCTTTGCCTTGATATTCATAGGCAATTGCCTATGCATGCTTAAATGAACAACGGCAGTGATGGCTGGGGAATTCTGGAAGTTGAAGTCCACACATTTCAAAATGTGGTGGTGCAGTGGTTAAAATGCAGTATTACAGGCTAACTCTGTCTAAAGCCAGCAATTCGATCCTGACCGGCTCATGGTGGATGGCCTTCCATCCTTCTGAGATGGTAAAATTAGGACCCAGATTGTTGAGAGCAATATGCTGACTCTGTGAACCGTTCAGAGAAATACTGGAATATTAGGAGTTATAGGACTATAGCCATAACTGATAATCTGGATTTTTATAGACAACATCATCTAAAAAATTGTTTTAGGAATCTTGTACTCTGATTGGGGGAAGATAAGATATTGATTAGGATATAATGTTCAACCTTCAGGCTTTTGATTCTCTATTGTCTAGCAACATCAATAATTTTAAAAGTTTAATTTAGAATAATCAAAAATTGTGCTTAAAAAGGATGGGAAAACCCAGCAATAAATGTTTGTGGAAGAAAAATGCTAGGTTTGATTGTGGTAAAGACCACAAATACGCAGGCAGATCATTCAAAAACAGGTTCTTTCTTAATTTTTAACATGTTTGTGCCAAGTAAGTTGTTGGATCTGTGGGTTCTTGCTTAAAAATGTGTAAGGTGATATTGAAATCTGTTACTCTGCTTGCTTCTATGTAATGGATATTATAGAATAACTGACAATATTTCAAAATATTTCAGCATTTCTTCAACTCCTAATTGGTTTTATACTAATTTACACATTTATTTCTGGTCAAAAATGTTTTTGTCTTTCATTTTATTTTTTTAAACCCATCACTGCTCCAGCTTTTGCTGGTGTTGGGAGGGGCAAAGTACTGATTTTGGGAGGGGCAAAGTACTGATTTTAAAAACTGCTTTTAGACTTGTATGCTTATTATTGCTACAGAGCTTTGCCTTGCTAGCATGGAAATTGGATAGATTTATTAAAATAGCTTCAGTAGTCCTTTGAATTGTTCGCATTTTACTATGTTCACATCTTAACGCAAGGTCTAAATAGACCTTACACGCTCCTGTGTATCTGCTGAATTTTTGTGCACTTAACTATAGTAGGTAGAATCTGAAGAAATTTATTTATATATTTAAATGATTTATGTGGCAGCTCATCTCACAATGGTTACTTTGGGTTGGCGTACAAAGGTTAACAGAACTACTACAACAGATAATCCAAATGCAGATTGTAGAGGCATTTGTAGAGATTCATCAAGTGCAGTAGATGCATCATAACTCAGTGCCTCAATCATAGTTATTCAGTGATTGAGGAAGTTGTAGAACTTAAATATTTGTCTGCATGCAACTTCTCAGGGACATACTGAAAAGCAAAAAAAAAAAAAAAAAACTCCATTAGATCATTACCATCATGATCATTAACATATAAACATGAAGAAAATATTTGTTTATTGCTTATATGGCTAGAGAGTTATCTGAAATGTCCACGTATTAAAAAAAAGTTAAATATCTGAAGTCTAAGTAAGTACTTAATAAAACACAGCGGGACATTTCCAAAAGACCTCATTAATGTGTAGAGTGTTCATTTTAAAGCGAAAATCTTTTAACTTATTTCAAGAAATGGACAATTTTTACTGCCATGCCAACATTTAAAGTATTCTTTGCAAGGGAAGAGATGCATTTCCTCTATGGTTCTGCTGACTGGTATATAATTATAGTCAATCTATATAAATAAGAAAAATGTAATTGTGGTAACATTTTCCTTATAGTTGGCATTTTTTTAAGATAATGAACAGATTGCAATCCAGTTGGCAAAAAAAAAGAAGGGGCCTGCTTCCATTCCATGTTGCTATGATAAAAGCTCATTGTTTTAATTCCTTTTGATACGTTTTTGGAACTCCAGTCAGAGAAGCTTGAGAAGAAGCTTATATTAATACTATCCTTTTCAAGCATGTGTGCTACTTTCTTTTGGGTCCACAGTATTTTATCCACATCTACTCATTTTGTAAAAGGAGGTATTTTGTTTTTTAATTGCTCTCTTTCCATGCTAAAATTGCTTATTAAGAAAAGGAGCCTTGCACTTGTGGGTTTGATCCCTCTCCCACCTGGCTGCTAGAGAAAGTTCAAGAAAATGGGTGTAGGATTTCATTAGTCCTACATCCTGCAGGAATGGGGTAATGTCAGTGTCTCTAAAGAGAGCATTTGATTGCCCCCTTAAAAGGGTTACTATAAACCAGCTGAATTGAATAATTGTTGTCTAGCCTTTAATTTGCCTTGGGGGGGGATTATAGAGATGGTATAGCTATAAAACAAAACAATTTACTGAAGAAATGTTATCTGGATACTTCTCAGTGATGGCTCAGGCCTGGGGATGATGGAAAGTGCATTGGTCACTCTTGTTGACTTTTGACAGGGCTTAAAAATTCTGTTAGCTCTTTCAGCAGCTTTTGATATCAGTTTGGTCTATTACGGTAGTTAAAACACCAAACTAGAAAGCAGGAGGCTGTGGGTTCAACTCCAGCCTCAGCCATTAAAGGCAGCTGGCTGACCTTGGCCAGTCATATTCTCTCACCTCACATGGTTGCCATTATGGAGAAAATAGGAGGAAGAAGTAGCATTAGATATGTTTGCCATTTGCCATCTTCTCTGCCGGCTTTCCTAGAAAGTCAATGGAGGAGCCAGCAGAGAAGGTTGCCACACAGCTGAGATTCCCTCCTGGCAGACAGGTCTTTCAGAAGAGTTTGGGTTTTCGTGTAGCTGATATCCTTTCCCCAAAAGAAAAGGGCTGCTTGCTGAGGGAGGGAACTCAGAAATGAAGGGCAAATCTGATCTCTGTTCTTGCAGCCCTTTAGAGGTGGTCTCTGGTGTCCACAAGAGTTTATAAACTTCCCAAACAAATCCATTTCATAGTTTCTTTTCTTCCTTGCAGACAACTCTCTTTTCATTTTCATGAACTAAGGACAAAATAAAGCCTTCTTCAGATTCTAGCTTGTTAGGAGAATGACAAACCATGAATGATTCTACAGTAAGGTTTTGCTTTCTGACTTTTTATTGCCTAATTTCGCTGCTATTGATAACGGAGGAAGCCAGATGAGACTAGTGTGGAGCATACATGTTATTATCACGAGGCCAGAATTTTATGTGGGTTTTGTGATGTCAAAAATAGGCTCCTGGCCAACCAGCATATCCTACTAGCCAACCCTCCCACCTGATCTTTCCACCATTTCTTTCTCTTTCTCTTCCTCTTCTCAACTCATTAATGTCCATTTCTTTTTCCTTGTCTTTTCTTCCCACTTCTGCTCAGAATATCATTATTTTGGTTCATGTTCCAAACAAAACATCAGCGCTTTGTTTGATATTTGGACCAAAACATTCAAAATGCATGTTTCAGTTCTGTTACCAATCAACTCAAACCTTGAAGAGTACAGTTTATACAGTTTCCCCTCTCCCCCTTTTTTTCAGAATGTAGATAACTCTTCACTGGATGTGTTCAAAGAGAGGCTACACAACCATTTTCCTGGGATTCTTTAACTTGGATTCCTGTGCTGAGCAGGAAGTTGGACTTGACGGCTTAAATGGCCTGTTCCAGTATTGTGATTCTAAGTGTTTCTTGCCTCTGGTCTATTGGCAAGCAATTTTGTTGAAGGCTGCCAGATGTCCTGGTACTGCTGGTTGTTGTGAATATCTCAGAATTGCAACATGAGTTCAGCAGTGCAAATGTTTTTGTTCTGCATCCGAAGATGGGTGTTTTTTATGGGCTGAGGAGCCATATGCTTATAACAGCAAGACATTAAATGGTTTTTAATCAAGACTCTAAACACTGAAGACTTTCAGTATATCTTTTAAGGAATTCAGAATTTTTAAATTTTATATTTTAGAACTCATTTCTCACTAACACTGAGTATTCATGACTAGCTTTTTGATTACAGATACTATTTAGTAACATTGTTCAACGCCTTCGTCATTATTTTGTAACCATTATCTGATTGCAATAACTTGCTTTTCTTTTTCTTTGCACTTCATTAGATTGTCCTAGATGTTGGATGTGGCACTGGAATCCTTTCCATGTTTGCTGCCAAAGCAGGTGCAAAAAAGGTGATAGGAGTGGATCAATCTGAAATCATTTATCAAGCCATGGACATCATTAGGTAGGCACCCTTCACAGATTCAAGTTCATTAATATCAAATATATGATAATGCTTAAAGAGAAAACAAAGGAATGGATTTTAGTTGTATCAGACCTATATTTATTCCAAGACTAGGAACTAAATGGAAGCCAGATATTCTTGGGCTTCTAATAAAGACCTGAGACATGTAAGTAGACCATGTTTTACTTTTTTATTTTCTGTTGGGTAAAATTGTAACTATGATGTTCAAAAAAGTCAGTGTTATAAATGTTCGGCGAATAATCCTCCTATAATGCATCATTTTATTTGCAAGCATTGGGGAACAGAAGTGCTCACTTTGAAAGGTTGGTTTATTTCTTTTTTGAAAGCAGTACTTCCCCACTGCTGTCACTTTGATTTTACAGATAGGAAATCAGTTGATTTATTATTTGCAAAAATATGTTAAGTCATATATCAAAAGCAAAATGTCTGCTATATGGAGTATGGAATGAAGAATGGTGGATGCCATTTACTTGTCAGTTTTGGCTTATTTCTTGGAAAAAACGTGGAGAGTTGTCAATGCATTTGGCTGCATCTGTATTTTTGGTTTATTTTATGATTAACAAATGTTATTAATTTTCAGACTGTCACAATCACTAGACTCAGCTGTTATAAGAGCAAAATGGGTATTTAAAATACATTCTTGAAAAGTCTAAAAGAATTATAAAAACCAATTTTAATAATTCATTATATATCAATCAAAAATCAAATTAAGCATTCTAACATTTCACATAGGGCCCCCGAATACTTCAGTTTCCAAAATTTCTGTAGTGTTTAAAGAGTGATAGCCAGTATCCTCTCCCTTCACACTTTATGACACTGAGGGACCAAAAACAATTTTTTTCAAGATGTACACGTTGGGCAAGTCTATTCTGGTTTGAGAAAGCCTTGCAGCTAACTCACTGCCAAATCACATATTAGTGATGGAAGGATAGAGGTTTATAGGCTATGATGAACACTTTAAATTGCGCTGAGAATCTGATAGGAAGCTGGTAAAATGAACATAACCTTTGTTGAAAGACAATAGGGTCACTATATTCTGGATTAGTTGAAGTATGATCTTCAAAGGCAGGTACCAGTATATAATCTGTGTCAGTCACCAGGACCAGAGGTGATTGATCAAGATTGGATCCTGCAACATTATACTTGGACTATATATATATGGACTACAACCAATTTCGTCGTATTTAAGTACGATGACAATAAAGATTATACTTATACTTATATTCACCTGCATTCATGAGGTATCAGTATAGTACAGTTTTGTAGTAATTTAAAGGGAATGAATACTTGATTGACATCTCCACCTGCATAAATTCAAACTGCCTGATAAGGTAAAGTGGTAAAACAGTGTCCCCATTTTGCCAACTTCAGAAGCAATTTAGAAGAATACCACGGTCAATTGTATCAAGGCTGATGAGAGCTCTAAAGACTAGGGGTGTGCTACCTCCATCCAGGACCCAACAAAGGTCAGCCACAAGAGGACTAGTGATGTCCCATTTTGAAATAAGTTTAAATAATCTCTCTCTAGAGTGCTGTTACAATGATCCAGTCTTAGTAACCTTCTCAAGAAAAGGAAGATTAGGAACAAGATAATAGTTATTAAAAATGGCTAGGTTCAGGAAGAAGTGAGCTATAGAGAACTAGATGACCTTGGAGAAGGAATATAATAATTGACCAAATATTAATTAAGCCCAAGAGAGGAAGAAAATGTAAGAAGGAAGCTGAAGGGCAAAACTGCATCTTCTTTCAGAGTTGCAGAAATAGTATATCTTCCAAAAATGAAGCACTGATCATGTCCTGGAACTGACCGTTGCCATCTCTCCTGGTTTCTCAAAGAGCTGGGGGAGGGGGCATGGATCCAGACTGTAGGTGGCTGAGGACATATTGGAGGGCACCCTATCACTTCTTTACGCTCCAGTAGCTAAAATAACAAAATATTATCCCAGTCACCACAATTAACTCTGCCTATGAAGAGTCGAGACAGGTGAATCTGAGTGACTTAACCAACACAAAGCTGCACACTCATTGCATCAACCAGGTAGGAGTCTATGTGAGACCCTCTTCCCAAAGGACTATCCTAAATAATGTCACTGCCTGTCAGTGTCTTATTGTCACAATGTTGGCTTGAATTTAAATTTGGTTCTCCTTGCTTGGCCAACTTAGCTTCTTGTTGTCCTTCACTAGTGCGTCAATCATGATATATTGCTTCATCTGGAGTTTCTCAGTAAACAAAAGGCACATCTCAAGGTGATGTATATATATATAGAGAGACCATTCAGGAGCAATTTCATCAAGTGGTTGAGCTACCTCTGTATTAGCAATCAATCAGGTGCTCAATGGAACAGCTGGTAAGATTGTTGGGAACTTCCTTAAGTACCGGTGGAATCCATTTGGATTTCACTTGTTTCATTTCAATTGGTGTTTGGGGAGTATCAAAGATAAACCTAATGCCCAGGGAACTCCAGAATTAAATGAGAAAATGAAGTATTAATTTCAAAAATAACATTACTCTTGATTGGATGCTAGTAATTATGTTCCGTGTAAATATTGCCAAAGCATCCAAATTTGTTTAATATTTTATGTTTGGTATGGCATTTTTGAGTTCATGAAGCTTTTCACCCATACTTTGCTTTTCTATGGTGTTTATCTACTAAAATGCTAAAATTGTAATGAGGTTACTGGCTTCTGTTACACGTCAGATGTAAGGTGATTGTAGTATAATAAATGTTTAAGAAAGAATTTAGATAATCATTGTGGAGAGAAATAAATCCCACTGGTGTGAATAATTATACTGTCCTGTCTGGTATTAGCTGTCATGACAATGGCATAAGAAAAAAAGATTGATAAATTGCGCTGAAGAGAAAGTAAGTGCTATTAATCTTGAGTAACTTAATTCCTTGCACATATTTTCATTTACAATATGAAACAATAGGATATCCGTAAAGAAAATTGGTATTACACCATCATACTTCAACTAAAATACTGCAGTTAACTAGGATGATTGTTTACATAAACACAGAAACATCAGTTACTTTACTATCACTTAGTTGTGTCATCTATGGAAAGGACTGGTTAAAACTTCCATTTATCAACAGTTTAAAAAATCATTTTGTGAAAGAAAGTATATGAATATAATTCTTTTATTAAAAAAGCTTGCAGAACACTTAAATATATTCCACTAGGTTCAAAAATTATGAATATATGGCTAAAACACATTTGACTATTATATTTTTCTCTCCCAGGCTTTCTCTCAGTCAACAAAGTCTCTGATCTTATAATTAAAAGTTGAATTAAACTGTAATTTATTTAACATAATTGTAACAGCAGACCAATTGCTTTGCAACATACAAGCACGTTTTGAAATCATGTGTTGATTTTTGGTAGTTTCTAATTGATGGGATTTATAAAACCAAATAAGAGATGTGAATACTTATTGAGGCTATCCAAAGCATTTGAAAGAAGTACAAAATACATTAATTTACATTAAATTAGTGTTAGTCTCTTCACAGCATTAAAGCAGCCTTTCGAATCCTTATGTGTTTTTGCCCTAGCTTTATATATATATATATATATATATATATATAT